TGGTGTTTGATTTTTTGGATGAATTGTTGAAGTAGATTGGCCAAAATTTTGTTGAGAAGTTTTGCATCAATGTTCATCAAAGAAATGGATCTATAGTTCTCTTTCTTTGATGAATCCCTGCCTGGTTTTGGGATGAGGGTTATGATGGCTTCATAGAATGAGTTCGGTAGTGAACTTTCTCTTTCAATTTCATTGAAGAGTTGGAGGAGTATTGGTGTGAGTTCTGCTTTGAAGGCCTTGTAGAAGTCCACTATAAACCCATTTGGTCCTGGGCCTTTCTTGGATGGGAGGTCTCTTATTGCTGTTTCTATTTCAATGCTTGATATGGGCCTGTTAAGATGGTTTAACTCAGCCGGGCGCTTGTGTCTCACACCTGTAATCCTAGCTACTCAGGAGGCTGAGATCTGAGGAACTTGGTACAAAACCAGCCTGGGCAGGAAAATCTGTGAGACTCTTATCTCCAATAAACCACTAGAAAAATGGAAGTGGCACTCTGGCTCAAGTGGTAGAGTGCTCACCTTGAGCTGAAGAGTGCAGGGACAGTGCCCAAGACTAGAGTTCAAGCCCCACAACCTACCAAAAAAAAAAAAAAACATGGTTTAACTCATCTTGGTTTAGTTTTGGCATGTCGATATTTGCTAGGAAAAGGTCCATTTCTGCCAAGTTCTTAAACTTAGCATAAAGGTCTGAGAAGTATTCCTTTATAATGTTCTGAATCTTGGTTGTTTCTGTGGTGATGTTTCCATTCTCATCTCTGAGTTTATTTATTTGGGTGTGTTCTCTTCTTTTTCTGATAAGACTTGCTAAGGGTCTGTCAATTTTTTTTTTTTTTTTGGTCGTGGGTCTTGAACTCTAAGCCTGGGTGCTGCCCCTGAGCTCTTCAGCTCAAGGTTAGAGCTCTACCACTTCAGCCACAGGACCATTTCGGCTTTTTTTTTGTTTATATGGTGCTGAGGAATAGAATCCAGGGCTTCATGCATGCTAGGCAAGCACTCTACCACTGAGCCACCTTCCCAGCCCCTTTGTTAATTTTTTCAAAGAACCAACTCTTTGTTTTGTTGATTCTTTCTATAGTTTTTTTGGATTCTAATTCATTTAATTCTGATTTAATTTTAATTATTTCTTTCCGTCTACTGGATTGGGGTTTATCTTGCTGCTCTTTTTCAAGGAGGTTTAGATGTGTCATTAAATTGTTAGTTTCAGATCTCTCCAATTTGTTGATGTAGGAACTCAGAGCTATAAACTTGCCTCTGAGTACTGCCTTTGCTGTGTCCCAGAGGAGCTGGTAATTTGTGTGTTCATTTTTGTTGAATATCATGAACATTTGAATTTCATTTCTAATCTCTTCCATGACCCACTGGTGATTCACAGTGTGTTGTTCAGCCTCCATGTATTACAGGACTTTCTTTGGTGGCTTTTGGTGTTGAGTTCTAATTTTATCCCCTTGTGGTCTGAGAGAATGCAAGGTATAACTTCAATGTTTCTGAATTTGGACAAGTTTGCTTTGTGCCTAAAATGTGGTCTATTTTAGAAAATGTTCCATGTGCTGCTGAGAAAAATGTATATTCTGATGCTGCTGGGTGAAATGTTCGGTAGATGTCTGTTAAATCTAGTTGATCTATGCAGTTGTTTAGATCTGCGGTTTCTCTGTTGAGTTTTTGCCAAGTTGATCTATCTAGTGGGGATAGTGGTGTGTTAAAGTCCTCAACAATTAATGTCTTTGGATCTATGTGGGATTTGAGGGAAAGTACTATTTCTTGGATAAATTTGGGTGCTCCATTGTTTGGTGAATAGATATTTAGAATTGTAATATCCTCCTGAAGGAGAGATCCCTTAATTAGTATGTAGCGACCTTCTTTATCTCTTCTCACTAATTTTAATTTGAAGTCTATTTTATCTGATATTAGGATTGCAACTCCCACCTGTTTATGGGGATCGTTTGCTTTGTCCAGACCTGCAGTACGTCAATGAGGGCAGTGAACCTAAGCTAGAAGGAATGAAGGGACAAGAGACAAGAAGAATGACAGCAAGACAAGGGTTCTGATCAAGCTGCAAATTTTTATTTTTCACACAGGGGTATTTATATGCTTGGAATAAGGAAGCTTTTTCATTGGCCATTAAGGAAGCTTTTTCATTGGCCGTAGCAGTGCAGGATGTTTGCTTAGGGCAGGGGGAATGGATGGTGTTAGCAGTTGCAGGATGTTTACTTAGGGCAGGATGAGGCTAGGATTCTGTAAACTCAGCCTCAAGATGTTCCAGTGAGATAGTCAAGCCTATTATGTTGAGAGACTCAACTTTGGCTCCTGACATTGCTTGGTAGATTTTATTCCAGCCTTTCACTTTCAAAATGTGTTTGTTTTTATGGGCAAGGTGTGACTCCTGAAGGTAGCAGATAGAAGGATCTATCCAACTAGACCACAATAAAAAACCGTACAGAAACTGAAAATCCAAGAACTATAGGAAAAACCCAGTTGCTGCAGCCCCCAAGAAGGTGGATAACATGGCAAGAACTCCCAAACACCTCTCAGTCTTAACTCTCAACATTAACAGACTTAACTCTCCAATTAAGTGACATAAACTGTCTAGTTGGATTAAAAAGCAGAATATTTTTAGTAGGGAATGTCCCATCAAACTGGAGCTCTAGAGACTTTGTTTATAGAAATGACACTTCTTGCTCTAGCAGTCCTGGAGATCAATAGTGCTCAACTGCCAACTCATGAAGCTTCAATCTTGTTTGTGAAGAACAATAATAACAAAAGTAGTTCTCTGAGTTTAGCCACGGGTATTCTGAATTTGGACATTGTTTCCATTTGAGGATCAGAATCTATACACCTTAGTAGCATTGAAGAGGCCTAAGGAATTAGTATGAAGAACAGAAAATATTGACTGGGACAGTTTTCTTCTCCTTTGAACCTGAATATCACACTCCCTACTATGGTTCAGGTTTGGCTGGTCGAGAAAGGCAGTGGCCAGTTCAGTCACCTGAGAAGAAACAAGCTGTGGCAAATATCCAAACTGAAGATTAATTTGTAGTCATAAACTTCACTATGGCAGTTGCGTGGGAGTTGAGGAAGAATGAACAAGACCAACTGCTTCCAGACTTCTTGGGCGGCAGCTTTATGTCATGGAGGCTTCCTACCCCATACTGTTCCTGTGCTCTTTGCTCTTTGTACCCTGTACAGCAGTAAGGCTTCTGTCCTCTCCAGTTTGACATTAATGTCATTTACACTGTTCTTTGAGAATTTAAGATACAACTCATATTTCATTGACAGATTTTCCCAGTGCTGCTTTATACAGATTGATGTGTATGCCCATCCTGGGGCTTGAACTCAGGGCTGAGCACTCTTCCTGATTTTTTTTTTGGGGGGGGGTCTGGTCGTGGGCCTGAACTCTGGGCCTGGGCACTCTCCCTCAGCTCTTCAGCTCAAGGCTAGTGCTCTACCACTGGAGCCACAGCGCCACTTCCAGCTTTTTTTTTTCCTGCTTATGTGGTGCTGAGGAATCAAACCCAGAGCCTCATGCATGCAAGGCAAGCGCTCTACTACTGAGCCACCTTCCCAGACCCTGTTCCTGAGCTTCTTTTGCTCAAGACTAGTGCTCTACCACTTGAGACACGGTTCCACTTCCGGGTACCCCTCCCCCCCCTTGTTTAGTGGAGATGAATCTCACTGACTTTTCTTCCCAGGCTAGCTTTGAACCATGATTCTCAGATCTCAGCCTCCTGTGTAGCTAGGATTACAGGCCACCAGCTCCTGGCTGCAGTTTTTTTTTTTTTTTAATACTGTAGCTTGAAAGTTGAGTAACCACCTAAGTAACATTGATTTGTTAATCTGACCTTGGGCTTTGTATAGGCGGTAAAATTTAGAGTGGGATCCTAGCATGATTGGATACAATAATGCATCCCTGCAAACGGTTTTAAAGTATTATGCACCCTTCAGATGTAGCTCAGTGGTAGGCAAGTTGCCTGACAATTGGAAGGTTTTTAGTACCCCAGGCTCTGGGGGAGGAAAGGAAGTATTATTCAAATACTGACCAAAAAGAAGGAAGTCTCATCTTTCTCCTACCAACTTCTAGGAGATGGGGAAATGTGGGTGTTAAGGACCCTGGTGTGGACACTTTCTGCTAGTCCAGTCTGACCTGGTCCTAGGGGAAATCATTCTTATAATTAACGGAAGGCGGGCTGGGATGTAGCTCAGTGGCAAAGCGCTTGCCTAGCAAGCGCAACGTCCTAGGTTCGATCCCCAGTACCAAAAAAGAAAAGACAAAAAAAAATATATACAGTTAATTAACGGAAGGCCCTATCAGGCTTTGAATTCCTTCTACCTTTAAAATCCTTCTACCAAGGGCTGGGAAGGTGGCTTAGTGGTAGAGCGCTTGCCTTGAGTTGAAGAGCTGAGGGACAGTGCCCAGACCCAGAGTTCAGGCCCCACAACCGGACCCAAAAAGAAAAAAAAAAAATCCTTCTACCAAGGGCTGGTGGAGACACGCCCTCTCTCTTTTTTTTTTTTTGGTACCATTTGATTCCATTTATCTTTAAAAAAAAATTCCAAATTCATATCAGTTGCATGAGGGGTTAAATCTTCACATGCTCACATATGCATGCAAAGAACTTCGCACAGCCTCACCCCTCGGCCATGCTCTCTAACCCTACCCTGTCTTCCCAAACGAACCTCCACACTCTTCGCTCTATTTTCTCACTCGTAGAAGAAGTACTTTGACTCTATTTGCTGTTTTTCACTATCTCCATTCTCCAGTAGTACCCCCCACTCGGGGCAGGACCTGTTCTCCATTCCTTGCATTCCGTGGGGGTCTTTGTGTGTGTTCAGGACCCTGGTAGGCAGCTGCACCCTTTCGAGCCACTCTGACCCGCACCCAGAGCCCCAAAGACCCCGGCCTGGATCTCCTTCCGACACCCGTAGCTCGCGGCCCACCAATCCTCGGCTCTCTCCCCGGCTTCTCCCCGCCTCCCGAACGTCACGGCCGGCCCCCGCGGCCAGCCAGCTCCCGGCCCCCGCGCCTGCCCCGTGCAGCCCAGATGAGCCTTCGCGCGTTGGCGGCGCCCGCCCCGCGTCTCCTCCGCACGCTTCTCGCTTCCGCCATGAGCACTGGCAGCTTCGTCGTGTCGCAGCCGCTCAACTACCGCGGCGGAGCTCGCGTGGAGCCGGCGGACTCCTCCGGCACCGAGAAGGCGTTCGAGCCGGCCACGGGTGAGCGGATGGAGTCGGTGGGGAGTTACTTCCTGCCCCTCCGTGTCGTGCGTCACCGGGGCCCGGGGATCCTGGTGGATGCGCGGTGCCCCGCGGTCTGGACGGAGCCCAGAGTCGGGGTGCGGGGTCCGCCTTGACGTTGGCAGACCCGGGAGGCGGTTCTCCGGGGCGGGGGTATCGCTCCGGGGTGGCCCCTGGCGGGCACAAATCCCGCATCTCTGGTGTAGCCCATCTATTTCTCTACCTAGACTAGAATTGGGAAGAGAAGTGGGAACAAAACACTCCCAAAAAGAAGAACCCCCCGAACCTTAGCGCGCCCCCTCCCGCCCCAAGCCTGACTGGTAACACTGTGGAGGGGGGTGTTTGCATGCACGCGTCGTTTGCACAGTAACCGCGACGATCGGAGCGATCACCTGCCCGTTAACCTCCCCACGGTTACCGGCTTTTGGTAGTGAGAACTTTGAAGAGTTAAGTTTTGTGCGTGTGAGCAGATGGTACAGTAATTACATCTGTGAACTAGCTCTGCGCAGTTGACGGTTCTGTATAACGGACACCTTTGTACTCCCAGCTAATGTGTGCTGAACTGAGGGGTTGTTTATTTGCCTTTGAGGAGCACACTTCTCCGCCTTCCTTCCCCTATGGATCCGAAAGGAAACTTGGCAGGGTGCTTAGGTGGCTCACGCAGATAATTCTAGCCATTCAGGAGACTAAAATCTGAGAATTACCATTTGTAGCCAGCCCGGGCAAGACGCTTACCTCCAGTTAAACCAGTGAACTCTGATCAAGAGGTAGAAAGCCAAGTGGCAGAAACTTCACTCAGAAAAGTTGCTTTTTGTTTTAATGACCTACAGTCTATGTGGTTTTTGTTTGTTCATTGTCTTTACCAAGTACCTAGTCCATTTAGTAACAGGAATGCTAGTTTTGTGAAATTACTCTGGGAAAAGCAATGACCCAGGAATTCTTGTGAAAAGGAAGTGTGGTTGGGAAAGATGGGAGGATGGTGGAAGGGTCAAGATACATTGTACTTATAAACTGATTTTTTGAATCAAACCCTTTTGTTGTCACTAAATGCAACTGGGAACGATACAACCACAGGAATATCGGGCCAAAGAACTGAGATATACAGAGGGCACCAGGGAACTCAGAAGGTCATCGCCAGTTCTGAGTCCTGAGATCCCACTTAACAAGCTTTTGATTCAGTTTAATGTGTGTGTGTGTGGCTACAGGACTGTTCACAAACTAGGATATCAATCATCTTGTGGTGACATCCATTAACAGGAGGTATAGTGTACATAGCAATAATTAACTCCCTAATTCTTAAGGAAGAAGGAAGCAATAAACATCCCAACCATAACACAGGTCTTAAGCTTTTTTTTTTGGTTGGTCGTGGGGCTTGAACTCTGGGCCTGGGCGCTGTCCCTCAGCTCTTCAGCTCAAGGTGAGGGCTCTACCACTTGAGCTACAGCGCCACTTCTGGTTTTCTGGTGGTTTATTGGAGATAGGAGTCTCACGGTCTCTCCTGCGCAGGCTGGCTTTGAACTGAGATCCTCAGATCTCAGCCTCCTGAGTAGCTAGGATTACAGGCGTGAGCCACCAGCGCCCGGCTTAAGCTTTTTTAAATCTTTAATTCATTAATTTATTTTTACCAGTCCTGGGGCTTGAACTCTGGGCCTGGGTTCTGTCCCTGAGCTCCTTTTGCTCAAGGCTAGCACTCTACCACTTGAACCACAGTGCTACTTCTAGCTTTTTCTGTGATTAATTGGAGATAAGAGTATCATGGAGGGGTTGGGAAGGTGGCTCAGTGGTACAGTGCTTGCCTTGCATATATGAGGCCCTGGGTTTGATTCCTCAGCACCACATAAGCAAAAAGAAAAAAGCCGAAGTGGCGCTGTGGCTCAAGTGGTAGAGTGCTAGCCTTGAGCTGAAGAGCTGAGGGACAGTGCCCAGGCCCAGAGT